ATCCCAAAGTAACGTCTTCTGTAAATCCGAACATAGTGCTTAATAATACTTTGTTTTATGCTTGAACAATTCAGTTCAACACCAACCATTCTCCTCTACACTCGTAAGACAATTGTCCATGGTTATGATACGACTGGTTCTATGTAATAGTTCTGTCATGCGTACCATTAGATCTTTGGTACAGTTGCTAATTGCATAAAGTGTTTCTTCCTGTGTAATACGTTCTGGAATCTGTAAGTGCAAATATTTTAAGCCCATACTTGCCACGAAATGCCCACCGCATTTCATCCAGTATGGCAAATTCGCCGATTACATTACTAGCTTTGCAATTGCTCACAAAAGTATCGAAAAAAAACTCTTCCTTCTGCTAATTTGTCTTTCTTCTCCTTCTGCTAATTTGCGTTCTTCTCTTATATGAATATTTTCTAATCTAATCGAAGCTAGCAAAAAACGAAAACGGTTTATCCCTAAGTAACCAGAAATTATCTTCTATTTTATAAGTAGGTATTTCATTTCGTCGCATTTTGGCTTTGTCAGTGTTTGTCATTTTCTAAACAATCCCAACATTCTTGCGGAATTTTGACAAGCTCGCATTGTCTTTCTTCGACTATTAAGTAAATGGGTAATAATGTTGCAACTTTTGGTACACATATTTTTGGGAGGGCATGTACTTTTCCATTTCATACCATGTTTTCCTTTATAAATAATAATATTGTCCTCTAGCTCTTACTCACTATTGCTATCATGTTCACTCAACTCTTCATACTCGGAACCAGCGTCTGAATCATGTTCGTCATCTATTATGCACTCATCTGTATCATTTCTTCATACATTTTTATATGAGCATATGATATTCTTACGAAACTCGCGATGAAAATTAAATTACACTCACAATCAACTCGATTTTCGGTGTGAAACTAAACGTTGACAAGTAATAAAGGGCTAAGTTCGGATGTAACCGAACATTTTATACTCTCGCAAAGTCAAACGGTATACTCATTTGAAATTTCTTTATATATTTTGCTTGATTTGCATAGTGGAAAGTGAAAGAATCAGAGAGACTTTAAAATGGTGGTGGTGAATTTGGTTGGAATCGGTTAAGCAGATCCCAAGATATGGGTTTTCACCTAAAAGTGGGCGGTGCCACGCCCACTGTCCAATATTGAAGTCGGTTACTATAAATTCAGCTCATACCATCACAAAGATAAAATTTAATGTCTCTGGCGTGTTTAGTGCTTGCTTTTTTAGTAGTTTTTAACAGTACCGTTATATGCGGAGTTGTCATCCATTTGCACCCTGTCGATAGAGGTGCTAAAATCGTTATTATAGCTTTAGCGGTTTAGGAGATATGCACATTAAACCTATTAGGGGCCGGGACCACGCCTACTTAAAAAAAAAATTAACTGCAGATACCCCTCCTTAATCTGGTCCTGTATACCAAATAACTGTCTTTTATCTTATTGTGGAGCTTATTTATGGCAATTTATTTGTTTTTTATCAATGCCGTTTTGTGGGCGTGGCAGTGATCCGATTACGGCCATCTGCAATACCAACCGTCTTACGGTACCAAGTAACATGTGTACCAAGTTTCATAAAGATGTCTCAATTTTTACTCAAGTTACAGCTTGCACAGACGGACGGACAGACAGTCACCCGGATTTCAACTCGTATCGTCATCCTGATTATTTATATATATATAACCTTATATTTAACTCGATTAGTTTTAAGTGATACAAACAACCGTTAGGTGAACAAAACTATTATACTCTGTAGCCACAAGGGAGAGTATAAAAATGCGGCAGCGAAACTTGTAATAATTAATGCCATGGGTCTGACAGGCTCACAGCCATTTTTCAACAGCTCTATACAAGTAATTGCTTAATTGATTCCAGGAATCTGTAATATCACTTTTGCTAAGAAGGTACATGTAACATCACTTAGGTAGGATAACTGCGTTATAAGAAATTTACGTTGTAAAGTTGATGTGAGTCTGAAAGACCCAAGGCATTTAGCGCAGGGTTAAAAGCAATATTCCTGGTTTCATAACTGAAGATGATTGGACGTCTGGAAGTCCAGATTTGCATCCATTGGACTACAGTTTGTGGACCGAATTGGAGAACATGACCTCTCGAATACCCCACAGAAATTTGGAAAGTCTCAAAAATAATTGTTTCGAGCAGCGTAGTCAATACCTATTGAAACTATCCGTCCTGCTATTGATCAACGGCCAAAACTTTTTGTATATAGCTGCTTATTTGTCGAAACCGCCGATATCAGACCTCTCTCTATTTACAATATAATTTTTGTATGCAGCTCTCTCCAACTGGCTTTTTTTTAATCTGCTTCTGCGTTTCGGATTGATTGGCAAGGAGCTTCATCCTTTCCGTCTCCACGGATGGGGTGTCACTACCGACATACATATTATACAAGAGCAAGGCTTCAAGCAAATGAGCAGTCTCCAGTGGTATATTTTCCACTTAAAGGCTTGGCCACTTGCCACAACTTGCTCTCTTCTGATTTGGATGAGCTACAACATGCTTTCCTTCAAGAGAATTAATGATTGTTATTGGGACGGTCCACAACCAGTCGCAAGATAGTTTCTGCGACTTTTTGGCAAGTTTTATTTTCCAGTTTGCCATGTAATGTTTTTTTTTTATAGTAGGGGGAAGCATCGAAAGCCGAAGTGCGGAACTTTAATCCGCTAAACCTAACCTACTCCCAACCCAAATCTCTCCCACGGAACCACTGGACAAAGTATTACTTCATGGGAGAGAAGAAGACATTTAAGTCTCCTCTACGGTACAGACTGACTGACTCCTAATCTGTTATAAGTGTATCAATCTTCTCATTATCAAAGCTGACGCTTTGCTGACTGCTTTCCATTTAATAGAGGACTCACGCATAAGTGCTGTCAAATTTTCCACCGAGAAACTACCACCAAGTGTGGTTTTCAGATTTTCTCTTATACTTGAGAACCGAGGGCAATGGTAAAAAACATGTACAGAGTATTCTATACACTCTGTACACGTCGGACAGTACGGACTGTAGTTATGACGAAATTTGTAAAGGTAGCTTCTAAAGCACCCATGTCCACTTAGCATTAGGGTCAGTTGGAAATCCAGGTCCCCATGCTGTCTATCTATCCACGGTCTGATGTCTGGTATCAGTCTGTGAGTTCACCGTCCTTTGGATAAGGCTTGCCACCGTTGCTGCCACAGCGTAATGCTCTTGGTTCTTTCCTCTCTTTTTGTTGCTGTAGAGGGCTCCGCTAGCTGGTATAAGCGCGCGAATTCATTTCCTTGGATGTCAAGGGGCATCATACTGGCTAATATCTCCGCAGCGTCGCTTGCTACGGTTCGGAAAGCACTTATCACGCGTATTGCAGTGTCTAGCGCCTAGATCCATATTGGAGCCGTATACAGTATAACGGATTTCATTGCCTTAGCTATTAAAAATCGTCTACTGGAACGCACACAGCCTCTATTTGCCATCATTCTAGATAAAGAATTATAGATTTTATTTGCTTTACCCGTCGTGTTTTCCAAGTGCTCTTTAAATTTTAGCCTTGAGTCCAATATTACACCAAGATACTTTAGCTGTGGCTGTGAAGTTATCTGACATTCTCCTATGTTGAGCGATAATTTTTCTTCAATTTTCCTGGAGCTAATGAGCAAGACCTCTGTTTTCTGCTCAGCCAACTCTAGACTCATGGTTGCGAACCACCGCCGTATACCATTTATGCAATCATTGCATTTGACCCGGAGGGCATCTAGATGTTTCGCTACTGCTACCACTATGAGGTCATTGCCATGTAATGTATCCAAACCTATATGCCTATTACGATTTGCAATCCACTCACAAGAATTGAACTTACAGTAATTCAAATTTAGACAAAACAAACTCTTTTTTGGTATTACGAACTACAACTAATTTCAGTCGAAAATGTATGCCATTGATTTGACAGATAATTACACAGCTAATTTTTAAAACGAAAAATTAGAACAATTCAATTCAGTTATAGCTCGTGAATAACACTGGTAAAGACTGTTTTTATCCCACTAAGTTTGTGATGATTTTTGTTTATGTTGGTATATCCTCATTACCAATATATGTATGGTAATAATTTTGTTTCAATCAAGTGCAGTTTTTTCTGAAAACTACATATTTATTTCTGACCTCATATATGTACATGTCTTTTTTTAAATAACTTTATTTATACCACTGTAATCTATTGCATTCGACTAACTTACATCTTATATATGTTTATTACATCGTAATCATGCCACGAAGGTGTTTGAACGATGACAGTAGTTTTTGTTCGGTGTGTGAAGAATTAACTTTTAAATTTCAGCGTCTTAATTTCACGTTATTAATTGAACAGTGCTATTTAGATTTTGGATTTCCTGTAAGGAATCAAAATACATTCTGCGTTCCACATAAATGTTGTGTAACGTGTGCGAGATGGCTATTAGGTTGCGCTGAACAAGATCCCAGACATATGCCATTTACAAACACTTACATAACATACAAAGACTTAACTTGAAAACTTACAATGTCATATAAAGCTTTGGGGTGTAATATGTTCTTAAAAAAAAAAAACATATGCTGAACTCTCATCTGTATGTCTTCTCGGAAAATTTGGGTGCTATGAGGGTCGAACAAGGCGAGAGGTTCCATCAGCACATTTCCTTAATGGAGAAGCCATATCAAGAAAAATGGAGCACAAGAATGCTAGCTGATTATTGTTGGAGATGTAAAAATTACCTTCCAGAAGCCAAATATTCATGAAAATCATATATATGTAAGTATTTTTTTTATATTAATATTATATGCTATTTTCGATTTACCAACTTATTTATCAGATCGCAATTTTATTGAAATTATATGGCAAAAATATTTATGTCGGAATACGAGAATATAACTCCATTAATGCTCGGAAATCTTCCATAATTAAAGAATAAGGAAACTTGGAATAAATTTCCTTTCAAACTAATAAATTCAATAACAAATTTTATTAAATGTGTTATAGTAATTTAAAACTGTTGCATGATGTCGAAATTTCCCTTCAATTAGATATTTCAATTAATTATCAAGTTTTATCGTTCAACTCGCTTTAATAATTGCCTTGCAATAAGCCAGTCCTACTCCAATGATAGTTTTTCATAATTATAAATAACAAAAATATATTGTCCCGGAAAGGGAAGATGTGGAGGAAATCGCAATCAGATACTTATGAACAACCAAATGCAGCGCTGTTTTTTGGAAAACAATATAAAAAGCTTTATCCTACGCTAAATATATGGAACTTGTTGCGAGTATGCGCAGAACGGTGGAGTAATCTATCCGTCAAAAGCTTTTGGAAAGAAGACAACTGCAAGCAAATACAAGCAAAAAGAAAGCAACACTATTGTGTACCCACAAGTATAACAATTCCATACCCACTTACCTGCTCAAAGTTAAAAAGTCGATTTTTCACACGAAAATTTATACGAACGTGGAGTGAATGGATGGCGAAAGTGAAAATAACAGTAGAAAAAGCCAAAGGACTAGGCACAAATAAACACAAACTATATTAACGGATAGTTTGTGCAGAAGTAACAATTTATATAAAACATAAGTCGGATCCGTTGCACGAAAACAGATACTCATTTGAAAAACTCAAACTTACATACATACTCGAAAGTTAAGACGACCAACATCGATACTCGAACAATTCGAAAGCCTAATTATGTGGTGAAGAGCAACTTTAAACTTTAGGTATACGCGTATATTAGGTTAATCTTATAAGTATTTAAGTAAATCCAGTAAGCTAAACACCGCTAACACACGCGCATTGCATATATACCATACATACATAATTACATATGTACCAAGGTGTATATTTGCTAATGTGAACGATTGTCTTTATCCAGTTAGTGAATTTAAAAGCATGAAAGTTGCGAAGTAAGCAGCTCGCTTGGTCGCTCCCCCATTCCAAACGGTGCAACGAACGCGCTGCATTAGTGCACTGAATTGTACGTGGGCGACAATAATCCCTTAAATGCTGGTGCTGATGGCGAACAAATGGTCCTTGTGCATTTCCACACTTACATGGCTGACATTGCTCTCAGGTAAGTAGTGTTAAAGTTCCCTGTATATAATAATATGAACTGGCATTGATAACATCGAAAATTCCTTAAGTTACCAATTCGGTTCGGATAACAAATCTAAAAGTCCCTCACACGTACACTTTGGATCGAAATACCGAGCCTGATCCCCTGGTGCTGGATTGCGAGTACGAGGTAGAGCCGCGCGAAAAAGGATTCGTGTTAAAGTGGTTATTCAACAATCACTCCATTTACCAATGGATACCATCAGTGAAAGGTTTTGCCATGGTAAGAATTTGTTAGTTGATTTACCTTGGTATTAACTTAAAGTTACACAAAATGTTACCGGAGAATATTATGTTATATATACATATGTATATAAAATAGACAAAATAGTCGTTGCTTGTAGTTTAATCTGTAGCGATATGAAATCAGACATTTCAAATTCAATCCCAAATACTTCAAGGGCATAATGAAGTCCAAAATAGACACCAAAATATTCACCATGGAAGGCAGTCCTGGTGTTATTACTATAAAGAAACCGGATTGGAATATGACTGGGGAGTACACATGCACCGTACAAACGTTCGAGTCCACAGATAAGAAAAGTGCCCGTCTTCAAATTATTGGTATGTAATTGTTTGGAAGTCATATTTTTCAGTTATATTCACAAGCTTTTTCAACAGTTCCTGAGTCCGATTTCGTGCTAGAAACGAAAATGGATGGAGAACAAAGTGGCGTAGATATAATGTGCGCGGTGCAAAATGTATTTCCCCAACCCAAACTTTCTGTAATGTAGGTGAACTCTGCACGATTACTATATCTCAGTTACTTAATTCTTCTTTTACTGTTCTGGTTTTTCGTAGGTTTGATACAAAGATAATAGACTCAATTCTGACACATACTGATCAGAACTCAAGCGGTCTGTATAGTACGACAGTCAGAACGAGAATTCCACGGGATAAATTGGAATCGCCTACACCGATCACTTGTGCATTTTTCCTACTTGGTACCAATTATACTAAGAGGAGAGAAACAATTTTCTATGGTAAGTAGAGGTAAGATTTTTTTATAACATTCAAGGATTTTTATAAAGACATATTGAAAAAAATTGTTCCCTAACCATCTCAAAACATACATATATATTTATGGTTTGAAATTCTTATATATACATATAAAGAAGTAAACTATATAACTTCCATGAATGAGACACACCATACGTCTATATTTCCTTAACAAAAATTGTGTTACATTGCATATGCATCCTGAGCTATACATGCAGAGCTAGTAAATTTATTTACGATTAATAATTTAAACAATTATTTGGTTGGATAATCCTAATAAGTCAAAGTCCATATTACAATATTTAGTATTAACAAAAATATTCGGTAGTAATCAAGAATATAATTTCAATATTTGTAGATTACTCCTAATTACTTTAATTTATATATTATATAATTTAATGAAATTTATGCAGTTGTTAGCATAGTTTATAACACTTATTTACTTTTTTTCATAGTTTTTTATGTTGTTATTGAAACAAAAAGTTTGCTTGCCTTCAAAAAAAAAAAAAAAATTAGAATACTGTGAACTACTTTTGATTTCTTCTCCTGTTGGGGAAAATTATGTACATTTTGATTACATTCGCTAGGCTTTGGTTGGTGATGATTAAGAAGTAGAAACAACGATATCAGGTGTAGTAAAAAGAAATCCATTCTTTTTCCCATAGATGGCGTTATTTATCTGTATCTCGCGTTATATAAGCCCGATCGGGCTCGGCTAAATGGCGTTAAAAAGATGACATTTTGTACTAAAAAAACTTTCCTGTCAGTTTTGTGATGTTTTGTTTGAGCCCGCATCAAAGATGGACACTAGCAAAGAGAAAATATCTATGTTTTACATTTTTTCTAAGATAAGGGCAAAAGCGCAAGCCAGGCGGCTGAAAATTTATGGTCCTGATAGTGTAACAGCTAATCATGTGCACACCACGATCTGAAAGACCAATTATCGAAAAAATCGATCAAATAATGGAAATCGTCGAGTCCAAACATCGATTACGATTGTCCAGGACCTAAACATTGCACATAAGAACGTTTGGAACCATTTTAATAAGGCTGGATACGAAAAGTAATAACTAAAGCATTCAATTTCATGCGAAATTAATGGATTTATTTTTACCGTATTATGACCGTAGATAGAATCTTAAAAGAAAATTATTCAATTATAATTAGTAAAGGTATCAAAAGGAAATCTAAATTGCTTTAGTGTTCATTATGTACTTGTTTCAAAATTAAACACGCCCTTTCCTTTTTGTTTTATAGTTTATATTACAAATACCGCAAAAAGTTAATAAAAATTAAGTTTCTCTAGTATTATTATGTTAGATATTAGACCTTTATTATATAAAATTTTCTAAGACT